TATTAGTCTGACAGGAGGGATTAGGACACAAAATAGGGGGCCAGACGGGTGGATAATGTATTTTCAATCAAAAACCTGCACCCTTGTATAACAGACTTCTTTCAAAACTATTAACAAATCTTACCAACCAAGAACAATTAAAATGTAGTGTATAAAAATAAAAACACTTTGGAACTTGAATCTAAATAACCTTTAAAAAAAAAAAAGTAGTTATTGGAAACACCATCTAGTCTGAAAACAGCTCAACTACTGTCAGAATACTGATAAATATTATTAGTACAGTAGGTAGCATTGTTACTCGCCCACACTGATCTAAAGAAAAAAAGTGTGACATAAAGGAGGGAAATGAGAGTGAGTAAATGAGAGCAAGTCAATGACTAAATTAAGAAGCAGTGAGACAGGAGAGGGAAACTCTTCAGAGAGCAGGGGAAGTGTGGGAGTCTGATGGCTCTATTCCTGCAGTCTGGCAGCAGAAGGACCTGAAAGGACTAATCGTATTAGTCTGACAGGAGGGATTAGGACACAAAATAGGGGGCCAGACGGGTGGACATGGGGGAAAAAGTCTGTGAAGAAAAGAAACAAGGCACAACGGGTAGAATATGAAAAAAGAAACGTTGCAGTGATGGACAGTAACATCACTGCAACAAATACTACACAAAATGCTTAAGATCTTGTTGAGCAGAATCTGAAGACTGCACAAAGATTAAAGCAGCACATAGACAGATTAAAGCCATGTTGTTGCAGATGTAGATGTGCTTGTTTCTGTTCTCTGGATTAGTTTGTAGTATGTGAAGAAGAGTGAAGAATGGGCAACAGATTTTCACATTTCGCCTGATGCTGATGTATGACACTGGTCAGAACCGCAGGTGTGAGATTGAAGAGCGCAGTAACAAGATTTATGGCTACTTTCTGCTCTGTTCATTTAGACACTAGGGGTGAAACGGTACACAGATGTCACGGTTCGGTACGTACCTCGATTCGGGTGTCACGGTTCGATACGATTTCGGTACAACAGGGAAAAAACAAATCTACTATGTCGGTTTCTTTTCATTTATTTTGAACAGACAGTAGTACAAATTACTATTTTTTCCACCTAGATGTGAAAATACTAAATATTATTACATTATGTTATATATATAAAATCTGCAGTACATATATACATACAAGGAATAAATTCTTGAAATATATAAAAAAAACAGTGCGACACGTAATGTAGCCTATATACGCTGAGTTTCAGTTCATTTTTGTGACACGCTTAATTTGTTCACAGAAAGGAAACTCAAATGGCAGAAAGCGACATCCTATTTGCATTCTTTATTTTACAAAAGCACAATGTTTTGTTTTCATTGTGAGTGTACACCAATAAAAGCAGACCTTTATAAAGTGATGCATTATTAATAAGACAATAAGTGTTTAAAGGTGATTTTGCTGGTATAAGGAAACAGTTGAAGTGATCGCGCCGGCGCACACACACGCACGCACGCACACACACAAAACATATCAGTTTCAGCATTGCTAACTTGACAGCGCAGCTGGTACTTTATCAAAATAAAATACAGTGACCCAAACATCAGCGCGCCCGCCTCTGTGTCACCGTTGGAACGCGACTGAAGTACAAAGTTTAGCATTCAGATACGTTACATCGCAAATATGGAAATATTATGGAATATTTGGATTAGTGCCGAATGAGAGAGGTAGGATACACGAGCACAAAGATCCATTTCGCAAACCGTTGAGTGCACAAGCCTTTAAAGTATACTCCTTTGTCAGTGAGAGATGCATTCAGAATCAGCACATGGTCACTGTCTAGTGGGCTCCACCCCTATTAGACACACACATGGGAATAAAACAGACCAATGGTGCCAAAAGCTAGTGCCGTCCCACTAATTTAAGGTGAGAACAGATCTCATGCACTTGTTCGTTTATAGCAGTATGAGGTCCTGATACATCCCCTAAAAAGAGGAATGTGTGTGTGTGTGTGTTTATATAGTAGTCTAATATTTATTTACTATGGCATCCTAATACTTGAAAATGTATGGCAATGTTGTATGAGTTCAGTTAAAAGAAATTAGGCTATTATTAACATATTAATGACATTCCAGCACGGTTTCATCTCAAAAAGAAATCTGAATTTCAACCCCCAAATTACTGACTTCACTGTAGTTCAGCATTGATGCACAACCAAATTGCATCTGAAATTATATAGTCATTAAGCTAACTTGCAATTTTATTTTTTTTGTGCTTCAGAATGATACAATCCCCAAAAGATAACATCATTAAGATACACATGCTATCAAGTTTGCATGGGTTTTTATACATGCAAACCTTTAGTAAATCAGGGCCTAAATGAGGACATGCATAGACTTCATGCTATATTATGTAAATATAAAGAAGTCAGACTAATGCTACTCCAAATCAGTGTTATTTTAGTATTATTTATATACACTGTTAGCATTTATTCATTTTTTTTAATGATCTATTTTTATATTCTTTTAGTTTTCATTATAATTTTAGTTTAAGTGATTTTGCTATGTACCTTTGTCATTTTTTATTCATTTTTTAATATTTATTTTTTAGCTTTAATTTGTTTTTATTTCAGTTTTATTCATTTAAGTACTTAAACTTATTTTAGTTATCAAGGTAACATATTTCATGTACATTTCTCAAGTCTATATTTTAAATCTATTTTATTTCAGATTTATTTCAATTGCTGAAAATGATTTTTTTTTATAGGTTTTTATATTATTTACTTTATTCATTAACCATTTTTAACATTATTAAATTTGATATTTTTTAAAAATTCTTGCAACAATTTTCCCTCCAACATATAGCTATGTATAAAACACACACACACACACACACACACACACACCTTTGAACTCACTGGAATGCCTCATGTCCTTTAGCATTTGTTCCAGGTCATTGTCTGGCTTCTTCACACACCGGCTGCTAGTTGAAGGTAAGTGTTTCTGAGGCATGTGTGTGCACTCTAAAAAATAATGGGTTATTTTTTAACCGAAATGCTGGGTTCAGCCTGTTGTGTCATTTTATTGGGTTGTTTTTAATATTTTTACCCAGGTGCTGGGTTATTTTATTTTTTTAACCCAAATGTTGGGTTCAGCTTGTTGGGTCATTTTATTGGGTTATTTCTTACTATTTTTTACCCAGGTGCTGGGTAGTTTTTCTGTAACTAAGTTGCTGGGTCATTTTTAACACCGAGTTATTTTTTTCTACCCAACCGCTGGGTTGAGCTTGTCTCCGATTAAACAACCCAGCTGCTGAGTTACATGTGTTCTGTCCAATATTTACCCAGCGCTGGGTTGTTTTTAAAATTTTAACCCAGCATTTTTTTATAGTGTGCATTTAAACAAGTGGTCAAAATATGCCCCTAAACTGCGAGGACATACATATGTGCTTTCAGTCAAATATATATTTTAACCCTTATGTGCCCTTATACAACAGTGGTCTTATACTGCATACTGACACCTATTAGTGTGGATGTAGTGTCGCACAAAAGTAAAACCTCTCAGAACTTATGCCATCATTTTTTTTTTACAGTGGTGCATAAAAGCTAAACAGATTAAATTATTGCAGTAGCTGATGAAGAAATTGGCAAGTGATTCTGAAAAAGAGAGACTTCTAAGACAGCTAAACTACAGCAGTCACATGGTCCATTTGTGATGTTTAAAAAAAAATGCCCACAAAAAGAAGGATCAACAGCTGGCATGTATTAACGTCACAAACTGCCCTTTGGATTCTTATTCCTGACATCTAAAATTAATCTTATGGAAACAATCTACAGCTCTGAACAGCCTCTGAAATAAATATGAATATTTCCAAATCTACTGTGTGTAAGTGGTCATGATTTCAGAAGTAACGTGTCTGCTGATTGATGGATTTTTCAATGGCGAATACACAAGGCCAAAAATTAACAATTAAGTCAAGTGCTTATGTATATTATATGCACTCTAAAAAATGCTGGGTTAAATACGGTTGGGTTACTACCCAGAAGGTTGGGTTAAACATTTAACCCAACCACTGGGTCAAAACAACCCAATTCCTGGGTTTGTCCATATTTCACCCAGCACTGGATTGTATTTAACCCAGCATTTTTATGAGTGAATACATATAGCTACAAAAATAGGCCTAATGGTTGCAAAACAGACTCGAATGTGTTAAAATTCAAATGTGTATTTTAGAATTGTTTTTTGATAAAAGTATGTTGTGTATTATTCATTCACAAGTCTGTCTGTGAAATTCTGGAACTGACACAAGAGAAAGTGAAACAGCATCTGTTAAACAGTCAAGCAGGCACGTTTACCAGCTGATGCCAAGTGATCTGGATTGTTTACATGTGGATAATGTTGGAGTCATAAACTCGTTCCCAGAACAATCAAGAACCCTGCAATATTATAATTCCCAGAACCATCAAGAACCCTGCAATATTATAATGAGATCAGCATTAGAGAGCAGAGAACACAAAAACGCACTACAGCTACACTAAAGCTCCTCATTCTTCAGCTGATGCTTGTCTAATGGTGTAACAGTGAAGTGTGCTCAGTGTAAACACTGCGCAGCTCTCATTACCAGCTCTGGAAATATGATTAGACATCTCACGTTACACACAAGAATCCCAGGTCTCCACACACACACACACAGTGTATCTGGTCCTCACAGATTGTCGTTTATCAGCACCATATTCCCTCCTTTCCTTTTCCGCAACTTAATTTCAAAACAAACGTATAACTAAAACAATTATCCAAGATGTTATGTCTGAGGATGTTAAGTTTCCATCTGCACATTCCCAGGCCTGGGATGAATGTCCTTCAAAAGCAAGTAAAGGGTCGGATCCTGTAGTACATATATCGAATGTGTTGCTTTGAATCTGTCTCGCATCATTTTCATTTCAAGTGACAAAAAGACAGTAAAATGGGAGGACAAGGAAATTTTGATAGCCTTCGTTCTGGGTCTTTCCTCAAGTTTTAGCGCCGCAGTCTTACCTCCATCCATGCATGCGGAAGCCAGGACACTGTTCTCCACAGCGCATACACGGCTGCCCCCGGTCTGGATCCTCATCCGCGTCTATCTGCAGGACACAATTACACACACTGTCAATACTAGCTCATAATTTACATCCCATTTACAGCCAGTTATATTAAAGAGAACTTCTGAATAAATTGGTAATGAATAAGATCTGATCTGAATGCATTTACACAACACTGTTTTCAACTAAAAAAATAATTTCTGGTCCAAGCGGCCCACCACTACGATCAGAATTTATCCAGTTGGACACCACCAGTATATATACATTGTCATTCAAAATACACACACACACATTAACACACATATGTGTTTGTGTGTGTATACTCTCTCAGTTTGAGTGGAGCAGTGTACTCACTTGCTCGACTTACTCTTAATAGTCAGTGAAAGTTATGACTATAGGTCATAGGCTATAAGTATAGGCTACAACTACAAAAACGTACATTATTTTTCATGGCAAATTACGATTGCCAATTTTTTTACAAGCATATTGGCCGATACTGATACAGATTGCTTATTTTTCTTGAACAGATAACCATTAGAGGCAACCACTGTTTTTAAATCACATTCTAACAAACGATGCTACATACATGAGCATTTTTTTCATTTAAATTAAATTGCATAATTTCAAGATTTAAGGGAAACACAATGGTCTCACTTTAGCTTTGTGAAATTATGCTAAAACTGCATTCACTCTTTGACGGCAGGTGGCGCTTATGGAACAGCCACAATATTGTGTTTCCATGGCTACCGCTGTAAACTATCCACCTTATTTTTCAACACAGAAATAAGCCATTTTTTGTGAATGTGCAAGATTTTTGGTTCATTAGCCGCTGTAGGGAAATAACAAGAAGACCAAAGTGCAGTAAAAGGTCAAATTGTTTGCTCTACAAACCAGTGTGTTCATAATAAAGATCATACATTAAAATAATAAGGTTTGACACACCAGTTTGCATTATCAAGCAGCAAAACAAGCTGTTTTGTACAGCTAAAAATAGCTGGAAATGACACCGGAAGCCAGTCCCACAAAATGTACAAATGGCTGCGCCCGTTATTACCCTGAAAAAAAGGTGGATAAACACTACTTTAATATGCAATAAATGGAGGTAAAATTAAAAGAAAATGCCATCGGAAATTTTCTGAAAACAATCAGTTCCCTTCAGAGATACATTCATATGAACCTCCACCCTCAATTGACCCTTCGCAAAAAGCTTGATTGACAGGTGCTCTGACCAATCATAACGCAGAATCTGCCATCTTGTCCGAAAAACAAATCAGACAGGAGAGTAGAATACCTTTGGTGGACTTAAACTTGAAAAATTGTGTGTATTGACATCTTTCCGTGATTGAAACAAAATACGTTCTGATGTTCATTCATGTTTATTTCGTGCTTTAAGTAAATATAAAAAGACAATCGGTTCACGTGCCGCTGGAGGTAAAATTAAAAGAAAATGCCATCAGAAATTTTCTGAAAACAATCAGTTCCCTTCAGAGATACATTCATATGAACCTCCACCCTCAACTGACCCTTCGCAAAAAGCTTGATTGACAGGTGCTCTGACCAATCATAACGCAGAATCTGCCATCTTGTCCGAAAAACAAATCAGACAGGAGAGTAGAATACCTTTGGTGGACTTAAACTTGAAAAATTGTGTGTATTGACATCTTTCCGTGATTGAAACAAAATACGTTCTGATGTTCATTCATGTTTATTTCGTGCTTTAAGTAAATATAAAAAGACAATCGGTTCACGTGCCGCTTGAACTGAGGCAATCCAGCGATCTGTCACGACACATTAAAGAGCCACAAAACGCCATTTATTGTTTGAATAAAAAAATTTTGTCAGTGTCCTCTTTGCTCCGCAATGTTTTTGTGACTGCGTCAGAACATGATGTGTAGTGTGAGAGCGGCATTGTTTGTCGGACATAGCAACAGTAACTAAGGAGGGCGGGTTTTTGCGAAGCGTCAATTCAATATTTTGACATTTCTTTGAATATTTCGAGCATCAAGAACAGTGACCTTAATCTGTCTGGTCCAGTATACAGAAAAAATTACCCAAAATGTTTCTCATCAGATCTACACGAATCTCATATGTGACCTATTTTGATATTTTGATCTCAAAAAAGGTGAATTTTGAACAAAAGGTGAGGGGATTGCATCTATAAGTGTTTCTTCACAAAGTGGTATCGCCAACTTCTGTGTTTGCATGAATAATACAGCATTTATTGTTGTACAGAGATTAACTTCAATGAACTTAATTAATTAAATATGTTGTTTAGGTATGCAGGTGTGTAGTATAAATGCATTCCTGGACTCGCTACATCCACCCAGCTGACACTGTCGTTTGACCTGTATGCTCTGACCTGTAACGTACTAACAATCTGGAAAATAATTCACTCAGGCGTTGTAAAAGGGATAGTTCACCCCAAAATGAACATTCTGTCATCATTTACTTGTTCATCTTGTTCGACACCTGTATGACTTTCCGTTTAATCTGTAAAACACAAAAGAAAATATTTTGAAGAATGTAACCAAAACATTTTTTTGGCTTAAAATGTATTTATGAATTTTTATCTGACAACTTCCCAGCTCCCGTGGCATTATGGGATTGTAAAGTGTCAACTAGCTGTGCACTTGAGAATCTTAGCAAATGAAGTGTGTCATTCGTATATTTTTAGTAAAAATAAATTAGAATTGCATTCAGTATTTTTAGTAATTTTAGTATTTAGTTTATGTTGTTGTTGTCGCAGATAAGTTGCTCTAAGTTGTTTTGGTGTCTGGTGACGCATATAATATCCTAAATAAGATTTTTCTGTTTTTCTAGGTCTGTGACACGAATTTCTCCAACAAAACACACAGCACCAAAAAGTTGAAGAGCAACTCTGCGTTACGTACAAATCGAGGTATTTCTACTGTACAGCTCCATGTCAGGCGTAGTTTAGCCTCAAGGTCTTCTGCTTGTTTGTGGGAACAAATAAAGCAATAAAACTGAGAACTTGTTCTTCAAAACCTGCAAGTGACGTAGTTAGGGTGTTTGAAATCTTTGACATGCCTATATACGGCAACACAACAGCCATAAAACTACAACACCTGGTTTGCTCTCTCACACATATACTGAGGGGGAACCCGGGAGAAAGTGTGTGAAAGTGTGAGAACCATTTTGAAAACAAGACAAAGAAAAAAATTAGTCTGGTTTTTGTTTTTCAGCTAGGCTACATAAAGAAGGAAATTATACTTGTAAAGATGGCATGTATTAAAATGTCGGATTTTATATTTATATTATAGTTTATAGTGTATATCATACCATCACAGGACCATAATACAATTTGCTGAGTACTCAAAAATAGACATTTTCTTTCAGGAGAAAATATGGGTTTGCACAAAAATAGACAATGCACTTTATTTGACAAAAAACAACATGACAATGTAACGCAGCAATACACTTTTGTTAAACAAACATCATTTGAATTTCTTTATGCAGACAAGAAGTACTATTAAGCTTTGCGTACTATGACAGAACATCAGTACAAAGCCCAGTCAGGATGAGTGAGTGTGAGAGAGACACTGCGCCAGGAACAAGAGATCTATGGAAACACGCGTGCTAAAACAAACACTGCCTGTAAGATCAGTGAACTCTAACACTTCACTGAACCAAGACCAGAGCACTGCTATTCACTACTGAGAGAGCGAGACAGAGAGAGAGAGAGAGGGGGGACAGGATCTTTTAGTGTTTTTTCTTCACTGAATAGTTAATTGCATTAGCCTGTTTAAAGGAATGAATTGGAAAGAAGGGGGAGGTATGAGAAAAAAAATCTCACAAATGTTTTTCCTGTGTCGCCTTGTACAGACACAACTGTAGATAGTCTGAGAGAGTTCTGTGAGAAACAAAACTGCCATTTTTACAGGCATCAAAACTGGTGTGGTTATAAAGAAGAAAACCTGCCATACAGGTCCAAAGCTGCTAATGTTCATGGATTTGATTTAATGTACTATTGTGCATTTAAAAACAAAACTGAAGGCTGCATCCTATACCAGTTTATATGATAATGATGAATGTATACAAGTGGGGTTGAAGGAGACAAGAATGTATTTGTTTTGTTTGTTCGGTTGTTTTTATGTTTTATTTATAACATTTATTTTGTTAAACACATTTGTCAATAACATTTACTGTATCCCAGTTTAAAATACTTTATCTAAAGCGAGATTCAGCTATATAAGGATTTACAAAATGCATAGTTTAAAAGTTCTCAAATACCCAAAGTAATGCAAATGAGGAAAGTAACAAATGTACTCAAAGTAACATAAGCAAGGAAAGTAATAAATTATTTGAAAAATTGAATGTACAGTAAAGTAGTATAAGGAAGTATGTAAAGTAAGGAAAGTTAACAAAACTAATATATGGAAATTAAAGTAATAAAAGTAACACGTGACGCAAACAAGTAAAGAAAGGAAAGTAATGTGAATAATAAAAGTGCTGAAATAAATGCAAGTATGTAAAGTAAGTAAAGTTACAAAAAATAATATAAGTAGCAAAAGTACAAAAATGAAAATACCTGAGAAAGCAAAGCAGTGAAAGTGAGACAGGTAATGTAAGTAATAGAGCCCGACCGATATATGTTTTGCCGATATTATCGGCCGATATGAGCCTGTCGCCGATATATCGGTATCGGCAAATATGCCGCCGCTACGCCGCCGATATGACATTTTTTTTACAGAGCATATAACGCAGATAAAATGCTTGAAATGGTGTAATTACTTAGTTTGTCCAGCAGAGCACGCTCCATTGTTTGCTACTGGCGACCTGGATGAAACGCTTTAAAGCTTAAGTCTATGGAAAACCATTGAAACTTTGAACGGCCATATCTCCGTAATGGCGCGGCGGATCCGCACCAAATTCAGGGTTCCCTTCAGCTCGAGGAACCCTCTCGAAGGCGAATCGAGTGTACGTCTCGAGGCCCGCTTTCGAATGAGACCACCCCCGCGTCGATAGCCCCCGGGGTTCGGGAGTTACGGGTGGTTAAATTCGCGTTACGGCGCCGACCGATCAAGCGATCCCGGGGGGCTACCGACGCGCGGAGGGTGGCGTTCAAGAGGGCTCCTTGAGCTGAAGGGATCCCCGAATTTGGTGGAGATCTGCCGGCGCATTCGCGAGATAGTGACACCAGCCAACACTTTCACTTCAGTAAGGAGGTCTCTTGTTCAGGCAGCAGCATTCAAGCGTTGGCTTATTCGACCGTAAGTGCCCTGCGAAGTGGACTTCACATGAAATTCCGCCATGATTCCAGTTCCAAGGGAACGTACACGT